AACCACGACCCCCCCCCCCCCCAAGTACGTCACACTTTCGAACAATTAACAAAAAAAAAATAACACCAAATTAAAATTTAATCTAAAACACACTTCACTATTAAACTGTATTAAAATATAAAATTTCCACTTAAAATGAAATATCACATTATTAAAATGACTTTAATAGTAGAATAGTTAATTGTCAACAGTTGTCACAGTTAAACATTGATGCAGTAACTCAATCTAGATTGAATTTGAAAACAAAAATTGCAAAAAGTTAGACTAGACAATTATATAATACACATCATTTATCTGCTGCTTTTTCATTTACAAAAGGTGAGGTCAAGTTTTAGATAATTTCCGACTATGCAATCTTTTTACACAGGATAAGAAGTAGATTAGCGCAACTTGATCTCACCCAGCGATTAAATAATAAAAAGGAAACAAAACAATTTGACTAAAAAAAGACTAGATTGACAAATTATGTGACAAACTCTTGTGCTATATTACATCTGTTTATTATGGGCCTGTGAATTATGTTTAATTTAAAAAATATTCACTGGACCTCATCCATCCATGGTGAAGTGAATGGTTCATCCATAGTTACGACTTACAACTGGCATTAATCTTTTACAATCATCGTTTCCTGGAAGGATGATTGCAGACAGATCAACTTCATCCTCATCTAGCCACTCAACATCCCCTGAATGTGCATTTTCTCGTCTAGAAATAACTGCCATGAGTTCTCTTCGCCTTCTAGAAGCGCTTCTCAAAGGACTAATGCGTTTTATCTAAGTTGATTCTGGAACAGTTTGGGTTGGCACATTCTACCGAGCCGAGCTCTGTGTTGTCACGCATGTTTCTTCGACATTGTTTGTGAGGCAAAGTATAAGTGACATACTTTGCTAATTCGATCAAGTAGGCTGGTCTGCAAAGATTGACAATAAAGATCATATAGTTGTACTTTGAAAACTCCTGTTGATCTCGGCAAGGCTATACATAAAACAAGATTTCGCAACAGCATACCAGCGATCCCAGCGGATCCCAGCGAGAGGAATCGTGAACAACACATTCAGGAGATACGCATTTCATGCTATTTTGACATCAAACTACTTCAAATGTTTCCAAAAAAATTTTGAAAATTATTTTTAAAGTGATTAAATTCTACTAAAAAATAAAAATTAAATTATAAATAAAATTTAATAAAAAATAAATGCTGACCCCCTCCCCCCCCTGTCACAAACTGTCACACTTTCTTACACCCCTCCCCCTCTGGAGCGTGACGTACTTTATGGACGGCCCCTAAGTAGGATATTACGATTAAACCAAGAGACATCATGGAGAGGGGGGAATTTATTTCCATGACTGAATCACAAACTGATATGACGTATCCATCTGAGATTGGGCAATGCTCATATGAATAAAATAAGTCAGTCTTCTTAAGAAATTGGTACGTCATAGTCCCGTTTGTGAAACTTGTTTACGTGAAGATCCAGTACATCTGTGAACTGTGTTTGTTAGATGCGTGGACTATAATTTGAGATTAACATGGCCATCAGAAGTACGCAGACTGTAGAATAGTTATGGTTCCTACAAATACGATACTTTGAAAACAACACCCCATATTTCAAACCAATGCAATGAGCAATGAACAATTTAAAGATGTGTTCGTTAGTAGGTCTGTCGAGTTCAACTAAGCTTAATATTTCCAAAGTGATGCTCATTTAAAAATCAGTCAACTATATAAATGCTCATTTAAAAATCAGTCAACAACATAATATAAATATTATACAATTGAATGTAGGTAAAAAATGTATCAATATATGACCAAAAATATATACGTGTTACTATAAAAATGTCTACATATTACTATATAACCAATATGTCTACATATTACTATATTACCAATATGTCTACATATTACTATATTACCAATATGTCTACATATTACTATATTACCAATATGTCTACATATTACTATATTACCAATATGTCTACATATTACTATATTACCAATAACATATTACTATATTAAAAATATGTCTACATATTACTATATTACAATATGTCTACATATTACTATATTACATTGGTCTACATGCTACTAAATGATCAAAATGTCTATATGTTACTACCAAAAACGTCTACTTTTTATAATATGACCAACAATCTCAAAGCTATTTCCAGAAAACCTGTCCCTCGATGATCTTAAAATGATAACAATCTACTGTAAAAAAAATAATTAAAAAAAAAATAAACTGTATTTTTTAATGACATCAGTAGCCAGGGTTCAAAGGTTATTTTACCTTTAACCCATCAATGTGTCAACTTCTAAGTAGCCGCGTGGCTGTAACAAGGAAGAGGGCGGGATGTTGAGTTGATTGTTGAGCAAAGAGCCATACCAAATATTGATCGTTGGGTTGTTCCTACTTACCCATTGACTTCACGAAGCTATTGAACGGCGTATGCAAGGAGACTTTTGTAATTGTGCGACATCAATAAACAAGGGCGAATCTGTTGTCATTAGGACGTTATTGTCATTAGGGCTTTATCGTCATTAGGACGTTATTGTCATTAGGGCTTTATCGTCATTAGGACGTTATTGTCATTAGGACTTTATTGTCATTAGGACATTATTGTCATTAGGACTTTATCGTCATTAGGACGTTATTGTAGTTAGGACTTTATTGTCATTAGGACGTTATTGTCAATAGGGCTTTATCGTCATTAGGACGTTATTCTCATTAGGAAGGTATTGTCTATAGGACGTTATTGTATTCAGGACGTTATTGTCATTAGGACGTTTTTGTATTTAGGACGTTATTGTCATTAGGACGTTTTTGTCATTAAGACATTATTGTCATTAAGACATTATTGTCAATAATACATTATCGTCATTAGGACGTTATTGTCATTAAGACTTTATTTTCATGAAGACGTTATTGGCATTAGGACGTTATTATCATTAGGACATAATTTTCATAAGGACGTTATTATGATAAGACGTTATTGTCACTAGGACTTTATTGTCATTAGGACGTTATTATCATTAGGACGTTATCGGCATTAGGAGTTATTGTCATTAGGACGTTATTTTCATTAAGAGTTATTGTCGTTAAGACGTTATTGCCATTAAGACGTTATTGTCGTTCAGACGTTATTGTCATTAAGACGTTATTGTCGTTAGGACGTTATTGCCATTAAGACTTATTGTCTTCAGGAAGTTATTGTCATTAAGACGTTATTGTCATTAAGACGTTATTGTCTTTAGGACGTTATTGTCTTTAAGACGTTTTTGTCATTAAGACGATATTGTCATTAAGACGTTATTGTCATTAAGACGTTATTGTCATTAGGACGTTATTGTCATTAAGACGTTATTGTCTTCAGGACTTAATTGTAATTAAGACGTTATTGTCATAAGTACGTTATCGTCCTTAAGACGTTATTGTCATTAAGACGGTATTGTCATTAAGACGTTATTGTCTTTAGGACGTTATTGTCTCTAAGACGTTTTTGTCATTAAGACGTTATTGTCATTCAGACGATATTGTCTTTAGGACTTTATTGTCTTTAGGACGTTATTGTAATTAAAACGTTATTGTCATTAAGACTTATTGTCATAAGTACGTTATCGTCATTAACACGTTATTGTCATTAAGAAGTTATTGTCATTAAGACGTTATTGTCATTTAGACGTTATTGTCTTTAGGACGTTATTGTCTTTAGGACGTTATTGTCATAAATACGTTATCGTCATTAAGACGTTATTGTCATTAAGAAGTTATTGTCATTAAGACGTTATTGTCATTAAGACGTTATTGTCATTAGGACGTTATTGTCATTAAGACGTTATTGTCCTTAGGACTTTATTGTCTTTAGGACGTTATTGTCATTAGGACGTTATCGTCATTAGGACGTTATTGTCATTAGGACGTTATTTTCATTAGGACGTTGTTGTCCTTAGGACTTTTATGTCATTATGACGTTGTTGTCATTAG